ACAAATAAAGCCAAAATTGAGGCTTCCATTGCAGAGGCATGCCTTTGGGAGGAGGTGACAAACTTCACAACGCTATACTACAAGCCGAACCTTCCTAGCAATCATAATCCACCCCATCGTTACAATACTGGCGAAAATGAATCGACCCTGAGCCTTTTCCAAGGCCAACTCGGCAGCGCAAGTGGATCAACCCCAAAGCTATTGGGAAATGAAGAGTGGCGCAGTATCATGCTATATGTGTTGAACAACCTTACCGAGGTGCAGCCGTTCATCAAGTAAGTTCTCAACGAACTTATTTCAATATGCCGTCACTATTCTGCATCCAACCCCATTGATTCTCATTCGGACAGGGAATTTGTTCGTGAATTCTGGCATCAATCAAGGGATCCTACCTCGCATGAACAAGACACCCTTGTTTCACGGGGTGCGGGAGCGGGGAGGCCTGATTTCATTTCTTGTTTCAAACAAAAGGTAATGTCCAATTTAGCTCGTACGTTCGATCGTCCAAGGTGATCGTACGTTTGATTAATATAACGATCTATCATGATTCACCTTGCAGGCCCAGACCGATTCGTCCATGAGTGACGAGTTGAAACAGGTTGCAAACGGCTGTGACGTTAGGGTGAAGTCATTTACCGGCTATGACGTGAACAGATATCACTTCCACACAACAAGTTACGAGCAGATTCGGCCCAAACAAAAAACCACAAATAGCGGAGTTTGTACGCCCGGCACTGATGGCCTCGACTATCATGGTAGAGTTGAGGAAATCTATGAACTCTCATTTCATGGAGACGAACCTCTTAAACCTATCATGTTAAAATGCCACTGGTTTAATACTCGATCAACGAGACGAACCCCTCATCTTGGGCTAGTCGAGATTTGAGAAGATTTCATCTATCCTGGAAAAGATGTCTACATTATGGCTCAACAGGCCATGCAGGTGTATTATACTCGATACGCCAACCAAGACAAAGAGGATCTTAAGGGTTGGGCTATTGTGCACCAGGTATCTCCACATGGTAAACTACCTGCCCCAAACGATGATGATTACAACTTCAACGCAAACACATATGATGGATAGTTCTATCAAGAAGATGGGCTACTAGGCACGTTTGAGATAGTCTTACCCGAAGCAATCGAAATGGAAGTAGACAACGAAACGGTTGATGACGAGGTCGATGGAGATGTGGTGGTAAATGCCAAGGACATAGCAATGCTTGAGCGATTACTTCTAGGCAATGACGACGATGACAACATAGAACCTTCGGATAGTGTTGCCCATTTGGACAATTTTGACAGTGATGATGAGACCTATGATCCCAATCATGAAGATTATTCCTAATACATGTAATACTATGGTTTTTTAATTTGTGTTTTGTTTATATATTTTGAATCTATTTCTAATATATGTACTAATTAGTCTTGTTCATTCTTTGTGATTGCAGGTGATTGGACAAAGATGGCGAGCAGACGTCCACGCCGTGACACGCCCTCGGTTTACGGGAGAGACCACCCTCTCCTTCGAGGTGAGGGGTCGTCGTCCGGGGCAGCGTCCACAGGAGGTGACGAGAGGACCAGGGGCAGCCGCCGTAGGAGGCAGTGGTCTCCTCCCTCGACACGTGACGAGGTGCTGGAGGAGGAGCACGTGATGGCCACGGCCTCGTCCTCGTTGGAGAATAAGAGGGGTCAGCAGACAGGCGAGGCGAGACGAGGCGCTCGAGGGCGAGGGAGACGAGGCGCTCGAGGGCGAGGGAGGCGAGGCGCTCGAGGGCGAGGGAGGCGAGGTGCTCGAGGGCGAGGGAGAGGGTACCGCTACCCGGACTCTCTACGAGCGAGGTCCCATGAGCCTCCCTCTGGTTCCGCTTCCTCACAACCGCCCAGTGATTCGGCCTATGGCAAAGAGGTAAGTAACTATGGATATTATCACAACTACTTCATAAGATATGTTGGAAATCTTAAGAAAAACTGATAAATTTTCTTAATCACTTGTGCAGGGCCTGGTTGGTTTTGTCGGGTACTCCAGCACGCACCCCCACGAGCATCCTTGGTGTTTTGTGCAGGAAATGGTACCCCGGCATTGTGCAACTGTCCGAAGAGCCGGTGGTGCGGGAGCTGGCCTCCAACTGGGATAGGTACGCGCTGGTCACGGATGACACTTACCGCAACAAGCAGGAGTGAGTATTGGTGGAGTTTTGGGTAAGTCTCTCTCGCACACCATTGCTTAATACATCGCATTCATTGGTTAAATCTTTTATTGAAATAATGAATGGATACATCGGTTTTGTATGCAGAAATATTTCAAGGCTAAAGAAGGACTTGAAGCCCAGGTGGATCGGGCGGCTGCCGCAGCTTATAGGAAGTACGTCACCGAGATGCACCACCATGGGCGCGTCTAGGCCCACATAGACTACTACAGGTCGGTACTTAGGCAGTCCCTCCCCAAGCCTCAAGCAAGACGGATTACGCTGACCTGGGACCAGTACCTTGAGGTAGGCGAATAACATTCATAATTATTTGTTTTGATATTAAGTAGGTTCAATTTCATCTTCTTATATGTCAAATACTCGATGACTTGTAGGTGATTCCCTGGCGGTGCCGATCGTATCCCGAGTGCTGGGCCATGATCGTGGACAAGTGGTTATCACAGGACTTTGTTGACACGCACGAGAGGCAGCGGGAACAGCGTCTGATGAGGCAAGGTCCAACTCACCATCAAGGCAATCGTAGCCTCCCCGGATACAAACAAGCATACGTAAGTGATTTCTTTCATTTATCTTGACGCTCAATTCTGCTTGATTTCTCACCATCTTCCCGTCTTTCTCGCAGGAGGTCAGGCGCACCTTTTGAGGAGGAGGTCTCAGAGTTCTCTGCGTGGGCTATGTCCCACATGGACAGGGCGTCGTCCTCTGTCTCCTTCGACCCAGCTGCCCCGCCCCAGGCGTACTCCGACCCAAACGTGTACACTAAAGTCCAAGAGTACACGTCAACGGTAAGGGAGATCTATGGGGAAGATTACAATATGCGCACTGAGCCCATTGATGTAGAGGCGATCATGAGGCTCGAAGGAGGCAAGAAGCACGGGCGGCTGTGGATTGCAGACGGCGCCATCGACTCCACCATTGTTCCCTCCCTCGACGCTATCCTAGCACGGAGCATGAGCTCCAGCCAGCCCATCGTCCACGGCCTTCTCCAAAGATCTTGCAGCGGTCCAAGCACTCCGGGTAATTCTGTTTTTACTCGTCAAATCGTGCGTGAGATATATTTACACACCTAAATTAGATTTGCATTACTGATACATTGGAGTGAAATATTGCAGGCCGAGCTGCAAGAAACAAGAAGGCAATGTCAAGAGCAGAACGCGGAGCTGACCGCACAGCTGCAGGCCCAGAAGGTCGCGTTCGAGGCCGCGCAGAAGCAGATGGTGGAGATGATGGTGATCATGCAAAGTCTTGGGCAAGCATTGGGTGTACCTGTGTAGTTTTCAGCTCCTCCACCTCCTACTCCTGTAAGTATGAAAGCTCACTTTTCGCTTGTGCTTTGCATGTATGTCGGCCTTCGTGCCGTTGTGGATGTCGGCGTTCGTGCCGTTGTGGATGTCGACGTTCGTGCCGTCGTTTCTTGCAGGTTTTGGAAACCTCCCCGTGCAAGGGAGGTGCTGCCGAAATTTTCAATTGAGTCTAATCTTTTTGTATTCCTAGATTACTAGATGCAATCTCTAAGTTCCAAAACTGTTTTTCCGGATTACTCACACATGCAATCTCTGCTTCTTTGTGCAGCTTCCGTCCGCGGGTTCCAATCAACCCACTAGTGTGTCACCGAGTGATCCTGTTTTTCCTTCACCATCGTCTCATAGGCTAGCTTGATGAGGACTCGTGCTAGGTGATGTGGTTGGACGTTAGCATGATTTGTGATTTATGGTTGTGACTTGTGCTTGGATTTCATTAACTTGTCGTAATAAACATGTGAATGATGATGAACATGTGACTTATCGTTGTAATATATTGTGATTTGTGGTTCACAATTATGGTTATGATATATTGTGAGAAAATGGGTTCTGTGTGATATATATATGTATATATATGAAATGCTTGTGTCGATGGAATGCAAAAACAAAAAAAAAAATTTAAATTTCTGTCTATTTGCCGAGGGCAATGACTAAGGCCCTCGGCAAAGAAGGGTCCTTTGCCGAGGGCCCTAGCAATAGCCATCGGCAAAGATTTTTTTGGAAAAATCCTGAAAATTTCTTTGCCGAGGGCCAGGGAGCAAGCCCTCGACAAAGGTTTTTTTTAAAAAAAAATTCAAAAAAAATTATTTCTTTGCCGAGGGCCGGCCCTCAGTAAACAAATTTTTTTTGGAAAAAACCTGAAAATTTCTTTGTCGAGGGCCAAGGAGAAGGCCCTCGGCAAAAAAAAATTCAAAAAAAACAATTTCTTTGTCGAGGGTCGGCCCTCGGCAAAGAAACCGCCAACGGCGCCGGCGCGTTACGGCTTCTTTTCTTTGCCGAGGGCTGGCCCTCGGCAAAGGCTTCCCGATAAAGGGTCCTCGGCAAAGACCTCTTCGCCGGCTAAAAATTTCCCGAGGGGTCTTTGCCGAGGGTTTCTGGTCCTTTGTCGAGGGCCAGAGCATGCGAGTCCAGTAGTGGAAGATGTAGTTGAAGCCTTCTTCTGCTGTGTGTCCGGGTCTGGCGAGGTTGTTCATGTTGGGGATTATATATTAATTTTCCTTTTGATTATTATTATTGATCCGATCCTCCACCGTAAACCATACTACCATGCATCGTCAGCTGCTATAGCTTGCTGCCGCGCTACAAATCATGCATATATACTACGAGTATCATGCAGAATTATATTGCAGATAGATATAGCTAGATCATGCATGCTTTAATTTCTTGCATGTGTGCAGTTCATTCATATACTCTGCAGTAAGCCAGTAATTATGTGTGCAGTAATTAAGGACATGTATGCACATGAGAGGATCCTAGCTAAGTAGCTACATACCGATGCGTAGTCGAGGTGGATCCAGCGGCTGGTGCCGCCGCCGCCGACGAGCAAGGCCAGCACGAGGAGACCGGCGATGACCAGACCCACGCCTCTGGTGGGCACCAGCTTCTGCGCCCTCCGTCTCCACCACGCCGCCACCAGCTGCCGCTCGGCTGATGATGATTCCGTCGTCTGCTTGGTCGTCGTCGTCGTCCTTCTTGTGTGCTGATCTTCACCGTCGTGCTCATCCTCCATCTGCTGCTTCTCCGGATCCTCCTCCTGTTCATGTTGCGGCAGCGGCGGCGGCACCAACGCCGCCCCCTCCTCCTCGTCGCGCTGCTCCTCCAAGCTCTTCTTCATGGATGGATGGATGGATGGATGGAGTGATGGATGCCTAACTAGCTAGTAGCTTGCTTGCTTTGCTTCAAGTAACCAAGCTAGCTAGGTTTGGAATATATAATTTATATTATATACATGGATGATCGATGGATCGATGGAGGGCTAGCTATCTGACGGCACGGAGATGTATAATTGCACCGGCCAGGCCGCGACGACCAGGAGGAGAAGAAGAAAGCAGAGGCGGCAGAGAGCACTGCACTAAACGACGACTCCACTATACAGTACATATCTACTGAAGAAAGGAGGAGCAGGAGGAGAAGAAGAAGAAACCAGGTCCCTCCGTCTCCGTATACGCACGCAGGTCGCAGGTAGGACAGCCACACGTAGAATATACTGCCTCCCTCGCTAAAAGAATGTAATTCTAGCATAATATTATATTTTAGTATCTTAAATTTGATTAATTATATATCAAATAAATATTATCAGATTAATTACAAAATGTATTTTTATAATAAATTAATTTAAAGATATAATTGTGAATATTATTCAATAAAAACTTAATCAAACGTGAATCACTTTTTGTGACACACAATTTATAATTGCATTCTTTTTAGGACAGAGATAGTACATACTACTCGTACAAGTATAAGTAAGCTAATCAACGATCGGCGCGCACAGGCTTATCCCGGCGTTGTGGTTGCTCGCGCTTCCTTAATTTCCTTCCCTCGTCAACAAGGCATGCAGAAGCCACACCTTACTAGTTACTACTACAACGGTTATTCGGTTAATGCAGAGAGAGACCAGAGGCCAGCAGGCCAGGCAATTTGAGGGTGAGACTGAGACCTTAACGCTAGGCTCGCCATTTTTCCTTTCAACCAAACGGAAGAGGCCCGTTTTTCTTTTTTCTTTTTTCCTTTGACCAAACACAAAAACCAGTAGGGACGTGGCGCCACGGGGCCCACACCAATACAGCTGAACACCACATGAGAGCAACTCCAAGAGTTCATCTAAAAATAGCTAGCCAAATTCCTTGTTTTAGCCATTGTGCAAAATAGAAAAGTCATAAAAAAAGAGGACTCTACTACAGCCTAGCTATAATGGCTCTTCTATATTTGAAAACAAGCCACGTCAACATACCTGTCATTCAAATCCCAACCGATCCTAGTTTTGTGGCAACAATTGGATCCTGCGGACTGCTTCTCCCTCGCGAGAATAGGACTCCGTGGACTGCGTCTCTCCCACGAGAATAGAACCCTGCGGCCTCCAGGTTTCAACTTCAGACCGGCGTTCCAGGTTTCGACTTCAGACTACACCACGAGACGCTGATTCTGGCAGCGACGGACTGCTGCCTCCGCACGAGATCAGAGTTCCCCGCCATATGTTCTATCATACGTTGCCCTATTCTGTCAAGTAAGTTTTCTAACACTAAATTGGTTTCTTATATTTCGTTAGAACAGAGATGAAAACACTGACGACCTTGAGATGTACGATGTTTATGCATGGTGTTCTGGTGTTAATTCTTGCTTGAAATATTAATTTAAGTCACATTATCTGATGAGCAGATTGAGGTTGTAACATTGCATGGGAAATAATTACCAGACATCTTATTTTTCAATCCTTGTGTAGGTGCTCGAACAAATTCCTAGGATTCTCCTAATCAAAGGTCTATAATGAATTTGGAAGATATTGAATGAAATGATGGATTCGTCGTCGTCGTCTTCGGATGATGACGATGAACTTTATATTGTGGCAGCACACGTAGTGTCAGGCATTGCAAATTCAGCATGCCATCGTGGTTCTGTAGAGGGACATCATGTTTTGAATCGTGATAGGCAGTCGGGGCACATCAGACTGTATGAAGATTATTTCTCAGATAATCCTACGTATGGGCCGAGCTATTTTAGGCGCAGGCTAATTTTCTCATATTTTGTTCAATTATGTTTAGCGCATGCATTCAATTGTGGCTAATTTTATATCGGGTGCCACAGGTTTCGAATGCGACGTCATGTATTTGTATGTATAATGAATGCTGTTGAGGAGTATGACGACTATTCCGTGCAAAAGAGGAATGAAGCCAAAACCCTAGGACTATCTTCTTTGCAGAAGGTGGTAGCGGCATTTTGGATGTTAGCTTATGGAGTTGCAGCTGATGCTATGGATGACTACATCTATATTGGGGAGAGTACTGCTCTAGAAAGTCTTAGAAAGTTTGTCACAGCTGTTGTTCAAGTATTTGGACCTGAATACTTGAGGTTGCCTAATGAGCATGATACTGCTAGATTACTTGCAATTGGTGAGAGTAGAGGTTTTCCTGGCATGGTTGGTTCCATTGATTGTATGCACTAGAGCTGCAAGAATTGCCCTGTTGCATGGCAAGGTATGTATATGGGACATACAAAGGAGCCTACAATTATACTAGAAGTTGTTGCTTCTAAATATCTCTGGATTTGGCATGCATTCTTTGGGATGCCAGCTTCACACAATGATATAAATATTCTTCAAAGATCTCCTATATTTGCAAGGTTTGCTGAAGGTCAAGGGCCATAGGTAAATTATACCATTAACGAAAATGATTATACAATGGGTTATTATCTAGCATATGGTATATATCCATCGCGAGCCACATTTGTGAAGACCATACCTGAGCCGCAGGGTAATAAGAAGAAGTATTTTGCAAGAGCACAAGAAGCTTGTCGGAAGGATGTTGAACGAGCATTTGGAGTTCTACAATCTCGCTTTGCCATCGTTCGAGGGCCAACTCGTCTGTGGGATGAAAATACGCTTCAACTTATCATGACAGCTTGTATCATTATGCACAACATGATTGTTGAAGATGAAAGAGTTGATGAAAAAGATTTTAGATATGATGATGTGGGAGAAAATGTGGCTATATCACACGATGATATACCTGAGTTTGATGAATTTATTCAGAATTACAAGAAGATCAAGGACAAGGAAACACACACAACGTTTCAAGCTGACCTTATCGAACACTTATGGCATAATTTTCTAGATTTATATACAAATTATATTGTTGAATGATTCCATTTACTATTACAATATCTAGGCATTTTGTATTAGTTTGAGAACCTATCTTTTTTATTTGATGTAATAAATATTGTAATAAATCTGATTTTGAGATGAGGACGCCACTTAATTTACTTGATTCGTCTTTTAATAGTTCAATGGAAACTGCTCATTTACAAAGTACACATCAAAGATAAATATCAGTTCAGATAACAAGGGACAATGCAAGAACATTAGTCACACTATTCTGGAAATCTAAAATGTGAGAAAAATAGACATGTCTCACACTATGCTGGAAATCTAAAAATTGAAGAAGATGGTCCTAATTTTCGAGCTGTCTTGCAAGTATTTTAGCCTTTAGGTGCGCATAGAACTGTTGCTGATCGGTTGACATGGTACTCGTATCAACATTCATAATTCTTTCTTCTTCTTTATCCGGCTCGAAGTCAAACTTTTTTGGTCAAGTTTTAGCCTTTCTTCCTGCAAAGCAAGAGATTTTTGGCACCTCTCCTCTTTCTTCAACTCCCTCTCCTGTTTCTTCAATTCCTTCTCCACATCAGCATCTTTCTTTTTCGCCAATAGATAATCCAATGCTTCAATGCTAGAACGTTGCCGTAATTTGTCTTTCTCCTTCTTCTTCCCTGCAGGCCTGTCCAGCGTAGGCACCGCGAGCTGACTATCATCAACATTACTATTGACAACTAGTTGTGCAGAACTTGATTTCGCAGTGGTTTTTTTTGCTTTTTGGGTGATGGTTTTTGAGTTCCACTCGGGTTGTTCCTATTGATCCACTTGGCTTGGTCTTTCAATTTTTTCCAGCAATGGATGTATAGAAAATTCCGGTGCATCTTGTCTTCTTCCGTGAACATGGTCAATGTGTTTGCTTGCTGCAAATAACACCGAGAATGCATGAGGTAGACAGACATAATTTACAATTGGAAGGGCAAGGTATGTTATCTAACCTTATCATCAATAGACAAGCCACTTTGATTTCTACCCTCTACCTTTGAAACACAACCAGCAAAGATGTTCACATCATGCAGTATACCGGACCAACGGCTCATTAGGGAGTTTTGCGTTCAATCAGAAGCGAATGTTTTGTTGGAATGGAAATAATCATATATTCTTTTCCAATATGTCGAACGTGGTTGATCAGCTCCATGCACTGGATCCAAACTCACATTTAGCCATGCTGAGACCAACATTAAGTCCTCATCTTTGGTGGAATTTTTTCTCCTTTTCTGCCCTTTCACAGTTCCTGGGGCCTCCTCACATGCTGGTGTTTCATTAGTATGCACGACATTATCAAACAAAGCAGCAGGAGTGCAACCCCCTATAATCATGTCGGTGAAAGATCTTTCTGAATCGATGCCGCCTGTGAACATATAAGATCATTACCTGAATTATGATTTCAGCAATTAGAAAAAACTGAAGCGTGCCAGATAAGCAACAGTTTCAAAATACACGCTTTCACCCTCGCATGAATAGGACTCCCATGGACATATAAAGTTGAGGACTTCAAAAGAACTACATGCTTGCTTTCTCTATCGAGTGTCCATGACTGAACTTTGTCAAGTAAGCCCACTGCAATTTTCAGAGCTATCAAGGCTCTTGTTCTGCATATACTCTCTTCAGAACATTGCCTAGCCGTGCAACAACTAATCAAAATACCTAAGCCCCAAATTAACTTGCAATTAGTCATGCAGAAATGACTTCCAGGATTATAGTTGCAGAGGCAAGAGAAGATCACTTAAATTGTTGAATGCTTTCAGGACACATGTAGCTCATTTCAGATTTCTGAATATAATTGGAACAGCATTGTGCATGACTGTTTTTTTCCCAAGTACAGTAGTAGCTAGAAGCAATTCTGTGATTTTGTCTAACATGTCATTGATTTAAATCTAAACACTTTCCTTTCGGTGGCAACACCAAACACATTTAGAACACATGTCATGCATTCTTCAGAAACCATATATCGCAACACGAAAACTTAA